ACGGAAGGGAGGATAAAGGTTTGAATGAGCTTGGTGTGGTGGGACAGAAAATTTTTGGCCATTGATACAGTATCAGACTAGAGGGAAAGGGGACAAGCAATTTCTAACTGTGGGTGTTGATGCCAAACTTCCTCAGTGCAAGCCCATGTGTGCATCCTGGGCTGCACGGGATGACCTGGCTGTGTCTTCAGGGGATGCACAAGAGGGAAGGGGAACCTCACCAGGGGAACAAAGGATAGTGTCCTAAGTGGACTGAGTCATAACTTCCCTGATGGACTGAAGGAGAACTTTTCCAATGGACTGAGGGAGAACCTTCTCTACTGACTGCCACTCCAAAGCCCTATTTGAAGTATACACCAAAGACTACAATGACAAATGCCAACGAGTGACCAACATTTGTATCATGAATTGCAATCAAAAAGAACTGGCTCCAAGTCAGCGCAGACTCCCAGTGAACTTGATGGGTAAGCATGCTTCAAAGTGATGGTTAAAATGTATTGTTTGCCTATTGCATACTGCAAATATAAGTATCCAAAACAGGCGAGAACAGACTTTGGCAAGCAAACTGATAACAAGCCATGCTCTTGAGGAAGGCTGATGATTTGGAGGGAACATTGAGCTGGAAGGGAATGCTGAATATAAATAAGAATCAAGTTTACTTTAAGCAGCACAAATGGCAGGGCTGTGAGCCACGGCTCAGACTTTATCATTCTTCTGCTGAGGGAATAGTTTGAAGCATATTTGCTGTTTTACACTCTGATGTGTTCTCATTGCAGGAAAATATCAGCCACTGCAGAAACGTCTTTAAATATTTAAGCATGTTTTGGCCATCTCTGGTTTGTCAGTTTATGAGTGACCAGGGAGGACGTAAGTCCAGCAGAGGAAAGGAAATCCCACCGTTAGGTCTTGGTGGCTGTCAAACTGTAAGAAGTTTCCCTGCCTCTAGAACATAAATCTTCCTGATTTCTCTGTGCTGAGGGTGTAATAGTAGATAAATGGTACATGGTACAACTCTGGTGTGCAGTTCGTGTAAACTGTTGGGCTTATAAACTGAAATGTGTTAAATCTGTTACACAACATCATCCAGAAAATAGAATACAGTCATAGAATCGTAGAATCATTAAGGTTGGAAAAGACCGCAAAGATCATCATGTCCAACTATCCATCTACCACCAAAATTGCACACTAGCCCATGTCCCTCAGTATTACATCCACACAGCTCTTGAACACCTCTAGGGGCAGTGACTCCACCACTTCCCTGGGCAGCCTGTGCCACTCCCTCACCACTCTTTCTGAGAAGAAATTTCTCCTAATATCCAACCTGAACCTCCCCTTGTACAACTTGAGGCCATTCACTTTCATCCATTGCTGTCACCTGGGAGCAGAGGCTGATCCCCAACTTGCCACAACCTCCTTTTAGGCTGTTGTAGAGAGCAACAAGGTCTCTACATCCCTATGTCTCCTCCAGATTAAACAATCCCAGTTCAAGATTTGATGGCTGTCATGATTTCCCAGACTGGGAGAAACCCTGCCTGCAGGCAGGGCCCTGGCGAAGGGAAGCTACCACTGCTGGGCCCTGCTCAGTGCTATCTTGGAAAGAAGCACATGGGATAGTGTGTGCTGAAATGCACAGTGCTGCTCAGTGCTCAGTGCTCAGTGCTGCCACCAGCCCAGCCCCTGACACTTCTGTGGGGTCTGGCTCCATGTAGAAGTGCCTGTGAGGGTTCAGGGGATCCAGGAAGGTATCACAGAGGGGTTTGCTCCAGTGAGAAGTTCTGCAAGTGGTTGGCTCTGTGGAATCAGTCTCAAGCAACGGTTGTTTAAGAGAAACACGCTGCTGGTCATGCTTTTATCCTGGACCACATCAAGCGAAGCATTCTGGTGGTTCTGGAAGAGTGAATTTACATTGAAAACCCACAGCTCTTACAAGCAGTGCATTAATTATTTTATTAATTTGCTCTTTTTACATTATGGGAAACATTCATCTATTTACATTTTCCTGTCCACACACCCATCTAGGTAGATAATCCTATGGAAATCCAAATCGTTATGCCATAAAACCACTCTCCTCTGTCTAAAGGCTTTCAATTTTTTTTTGCCATTTGTTTCATATTAGAAACATTTTCAAAATAACATTTGGGAATGCAGGTAGGCCATCAAATTACATCCCGATTACTTAAAACACGCTTTTGACCTTTTTCTTTAAAAGAACAAAACCAAAAAACAAAACCAAAATGAAAAGCCCCAAAAACTTCACAAAGATTCTGTTCAAATTAAAGTGATAGTGCACATAAAAGCATTAAGGGAACATGAATAAATAAACTGAACTATATTACAAATAAATTATTTCTATTTACCTTTTCAAATATTAAAAATCTTTAATCCATTTCTTCATCTTTCTTTACAAAAAAAGATTATGAGAATTTCATGGAAACATCTGCAAAAAATATAATAAATACTGATTTTTTTTCTTTTTCTTTTTTTTTTTTAACTTCTGAAGCAGGAGACAAAAGCAATCTTTTCTAAAATTTCTCCCAAGCCAAAAAAAAGAAGGAAAGAAAGAGAGAGAGAAAGAAAGACCTTAGTACCAAAGTGAAATAACATAGGAATTCTGAATATACACCGGGCAGGTTAGACTGAAACAAGTAGTTACAAATTGTACTAAAACAGATGATACAGCAAATATACTAGTCAGTACTAATATTGGTGTCAGTAAGTCAGTAAATGAGTCAAGTGGTTAACTAGTGGCATTCTAGGGGCAGAAGTATTATCTTCTATATTTACTGGTCTTGGGCGTATTCTTAAAACTTTGCTAAAAAACAAAGCAAACATTATAATTCTCTCCCTGGAGCCAAATGTGCTAACAGGCATTCACCTAAGAATAGATTCATTTAAAATATATATGAAAATATTCTGTGATATACAAATACAATAATTCATCACATACAAGACTAGCCAGTTTTCCCTTCTCTGCTTTCTAAGGGGGGCTTTTGCTAGATAGGAATTTCTGTAGCCACTTGTCAACCAAAATCTTAACTCATCTTTCATAAAACATCCATGAAACTAAATAATCTGAGACATGGCTGTGAATGCAGACTCTCACCTGAATACAGCTTTGTATACTTCGGTACAAATGAGTTCCAAAAAATTAATGCTTAACGTGACGATATGCTCAAAGTGGCAGTTGGCACTATTACATACTGCAAACACGGTGTTATTTCATTACTGCTCAAAGTCAGATGGAGTGTTTCAAAACTAGCAAACACACAGGTATTTGGGTGCTGAGAGGGTCAAGCCTTTCCAAGCTCCTATAACACAAAGCACTCTAGGGTTACACTGGATTTCCAATTACTCTAGTTAAAAGTCTTTTATATATTAAATTATTAGCCCTTATCTTGTAAACCACAGCAGTAAGTAGTTGTGCCCTGTTTATAAAGACATAGCTCAGATATCAATGGCTTTGAGAGGTAGCAAATTCTCTAGTGGTTTTAGTATGCTTTCGTGAAAATACCTGGTGCCAGAACCTATTACCTCTCTTATTTTCTTCAATAAAATTAAATTAGCACCTGGCTATGATGTCATAGGAAAAGAAGCTGTCTGGCATGACCTCAAAGAATACTTTTAGCAAGAGCTTTGCTCGTCGATGACAATTTTCAGTGCTCTGAAGCGCAAGTGGCAGAATGATGCCAGCACTATGGTGAGACCTGGTCAGGCCAGCCCAGCTGTTACAGTGAAGGGCACAGGCAGCCCGCACTGGTCTGGGGCCACCGTGCACACCATGTTGCACCACCAGGGCAGCTGTCCCTAGGCCTATCCCCAGCGGGAGTGGAGAGCCACCACCTTCCTTCGTGGGTTCCCTCATGGAGGCAAAGATAGTGCAGGGTCATGAGAAGTTTGCTCCTGGGACCCTGGGCACAGTTGCACTGGCCAAACCCTCTGTTACCAGCAGAAAGCAGGGAGGCACGAGTCGCACCCAGCCACCCACCCACATGTGTGCCCAATGTGCTGTGTGCAGCTTGCCTGGCTTTCCTGCTGTTGGCACAAGGCCTTCCTGGGGTGGTGTGCCCAGCGCCTGACCGCCAGTATGCAGGAGCAGCAGCCCCTGCCTGGGCTGGAGGAGGCCAGGCTGAGAGCCTCGCTCCTCTCCAGCCCTATTGTCTATGATTTACCCCCAGTATTAATGGACTACTTGGGATGCATATTTTTTGTGACTGTGAAACAATGGCAGAAGCAGGGGAAGGAAGGCTTGTCATGGAACAAAATTAAGTTCATACCGATCCCATAACTTGTGAAAAATACTTTATTGTTCTTGGTCAGGTGGTACTTTATACTATCAGGAGGAGACTGTTTTAGAACCTTACACCTAGGTATGGACTGCATGGTGAGGAGCAGTCTGCACTGTAGCATAAACTGGCTGTGGATAATGCAACGCCTCGCCTAGAAGAGCACGGCAGGCTCCGCGTACAACTGGCTGACAGGTGTTGGTGTGTGGCTGTGTGTATGTGTGAGATGGGATCATCCCACCAAGAGTAAGACATCAATGAAACAAGTTTTTTTTTTTTTTTTTTTTTTTTTTTTTTTTTTTAACCAATATAATCCATACAATACAATACAAGAGGAATTGACAATACAGTACAATTTTAAAAATTCTTAATACTTGGACAAGAAAATCCTTCTTTTATATTATCTTCAACTGTCCTTGCTTCTTATTTCCTTCCTTTTCACTCTTTTATTGCCTTTCAAAATAGATTATTTCCCTGGAAGATCGAATTTACAATCTTCTGCTGATTGAAATGTTTAAGTAGTGATTGATGAAATAAAAATGAGGCAGTTTGTGCAGCTGTGAGTGTGCAGGCATCTTTCCTTGGGATCTTTCTATCCCTCACCATCCCATCTGCGGGATACGCTTTCATTTCTCACCCCCAGGTCTGTGTTTTTACCCTCCTCCCCGCTCCCACCCCAACTGCTCTCCCCCCGTGGTGACTCCTTAAAATCAGGTGAGAAGGTGTGATTTGGAGGTTTAGAATAAAGTGCGCCATCTGCATTTTTTTTTTTTTTTTAAAAAAAAAAGCAATAAAAAAAAGGGGAATCCGAGTCATAGCTCCTTTCATCTTTTAGAGGAAGACGGCAGAGTCCAAAAGGATCACCCTGCGTGACTGAAATTTCCAAAATCCCCTGCGGTTGGATATTGCTGTACACTAGGTAACAGGCTAGCTTTAGATCGACTAAAGGTCATGGGTGGGTTAAATGGAGCCTACTGTACAGGTGCGCATGTGCATGGGGATCCGAGCGCCGCATTTATTCACTTCAAACAGAAAAAGGATCGTACTCGTTTACATGAGGCGAGGTGGCAGCATCAGTACATGTGACAAAGCATCATGGTGACATGGGCAAACCTTCAGGAAGCAAGGGTGGTTAGAGGACATCTCTCGGAGAACCGACAACTACGGCACGGTGGTGGGATTCATCGGGGTCACCGGGACTGCGTACAGAGAGCAGGGAGAGGGGGGGAGCAGAGGGAGGAGGAGGTACAAGTACTTGGTGGCGGTGACCTGGAGCAGGAGCCTAGAGGGGCAGATTGTACAGGAGACTTGTCTTGCCAGAGAGAGTCCTCCTGGTCGGATCCCTTCATAGCCTGGTCTGGGCTTCGGGGATGTATATCTCAATGCTCTCGGCGCTTTCGGTGGCTGAGTTCTGCCGGACGGACGCCGCGCGCTTGGCAGCCATCAGCCGCTTGCGGGCCTCCTGACGCTGCGAGCTCTCCAGAGAGCGTTCCCGGATGAGCGGCACCTGACCTTTCGATGGCTTCTTTGGCACTGGAGGAGGGACCCTTCTCTCCTGATCAAAGCAGAAGGTTAATGGCATTATAGAGCTTCTCAGGGAAAGGGGGGAAAAACTAGGACGCGTCAGTAGTTAGAACACACATTTTACCTATGGTCTGTTAGCTCCTATCTGCCCTTTAGTCTTCAGTCAACTGGCTAGAAACTGAGCTAGAGAGGAGAGCATCTCAGGCGCGGCCTCGTACCACTGGCACCGCTCCACGCGGCTGAGGAATAAATCCCGCTCTCGGCAGCGTGGCCCCGGCAGCCTGGCTCCTGCGGCTGGTAACAACCTCGGCTGAGGGCCGTCCTTGGACGGGGCCGGGATGTGTGCGTCACCTCGGCCCTTAAAAACGGCACGCGTGTGGCACAAGGTGGGCCTGTGGCAGCGCTGAGATGCACTGGGCTCGGCATCCCAACCACTAGCTGCCTGCGGCTGGTGCATCGGAACAGTAACCATCCAAAACATGAAACATATAGTCAGGCACATATTTCATATAGCTTAGTAACTTGCCCCCCACATTCCCCTCTTTGAGTCTGTCTGTGCAAACGCATAAACCCCAGCCTCCTGCTAAATAGACATGCCACCCTACAGTCAGCTCTAGCTTGAAAAACCGGTAGGAAAAAATTAAAAGCCATGAAGAGAACATGCATTAATCATCACAGTGGCGGCTAGCTCCAGCTACGCGAGTGACAAGGAGGACTATTATGTACAGCCTGGTGTGTGCATACAAAAAAAAAAAATCAGAGCAGGATCTCTCCTGGAAAAGAAAAGTGTATTCAGGTCTGAATTTCAGGCAGCCACAAAGACTTTGTCAAGTTAATTAGATTGTCTTTTAAGTTACATCCCCTTCCAACTGTGAACACGGCCTCTGAGCGGAGGGATTTTATCACACTACAAAGGTCCCATTCTGCCCTTGCGTTTTCTCTTATGCTGATCACAACAGCGTCCACAGCTCGAAAGATAAAGGTGCTTAGTTACACTTATTCATACTTTGCTCTTTCTCTCCATCCAAGGATTAATCTGTGCTGCTTTAAAAGGGACCAGTGGCAAAGGCCAAAGGCAACTGCAAATATCAATTCCACAGAAAGTTCTTTGTTCTTTTTTTTTTTTTTTTTTTTTTTTTTTTTTTTAAGTATTTAAGAAAGGAGATGATCTCTTTCATTTAAAATCATAGACAAATGCTAATTGAACCAGGGACACAGTCAGTGTAATTATTTAAAAAGCAAAATCTCTACCTGCTTACCATAGGTCCATTTATTCAACACAACTTCCTTTAACCCGTTATATTCTTTTGTTAGAAACTCCTTGAAATCTTTTTCAGAAGCGAACAAAAAGCACGTTTTTGCAAGGAAAGCTCTCATTTCTTACTCTGCAATTAAAAACACTTGGCCTTCCCGCTTGACTAGATAAACTAATGAAAGACCATACATCGGCATTTCTGTGCATGCATGTTTGACATTTATAACTTCCTTTTCTGACAGATATTGAAAAGAAAAAAAAAAAAAAAGAAGATAAATAATAAAATGACTTGCCTTCAGTACCTTGGTCTAGGAAAACACATTCCCACACATCCCTTGACAAAACACTAGGTGTGCACAAGTGGTGTGAGCAAGGCACTCCTAATGAACTAGTATTTAGTGTTGACTGGAGGAGAGACAGTGCTACCAGCATTACCTTTGCAAACTTCCTGCTGCAAGATTAATGGGATTCAATATTGTTATTATCTGCCCAAAAGAAAATGCCACTTTGGTCATCAGAAATGAACTGACAATGAGTGTGGGGAGCTGGACACCTAGCAGAGCCACTAGAGGTTTTGTCCCCTCCTTCCTGTTTTCCTACCTGCTTACTCTACTCACTGGTATCAGACTGGTCACAATCAGTCTAAAGGAGATTCAGTCATCATATTACATACCTATAGGAGCATGACAGGACGAGACCCATGGTTCCTCTAGGAATGGGTCTGACTTTAAAGTATTGGCTGAAACATTTGTGTATTTTGGCTTACTCCGGTGCTGTTTGTCTTGATGTAGATAGTGAGGAGAAAAATAAGGCAATGGAGCCGAATGAGAGTGAAAAGTGAAAGGTGACTCACGCTTGGAGATGTGGTAGTTTTTCATGGTGACACAAGACTACTACATTTTTTAAGAAGCCCAACACTCGAGATGATTTTTATGCTCTCTTGGGTAAACAGCGCTACCAGCAAAGTGGACCCATTTATGAAACCACCCCATCACAAAACAAACAAACAAACAAACAAAAAACCCCCACAAAACAAAACAAAAAACAACAAAAAAGGAACAACAAATGAACAACAACAACAACAAAAAAGATGTAGGAGTTCTTTCATGTGATATTTTGGAAGGCATATTTTTGATATCGCTCTGTTTGTAATACGGTTATCAAGTCAGCGATGGTTACAGTGCTTCCCTCTTTTTTTTCAGTAACACAACCTAGAACTCTTGCTATATGCAATAATGTGAACCGTAAATGTGATTTATTTAATTTTAAGAATCAATATATAAGGCAGTTGCTTCCAACGATTGATCGTCTAATATGATTAAATGTAAAACTTAACAAAGTACTACATTCCCATTATCCGATTCACAAAGACAGATTTGGTTTAAAAATATGCCTGAAACATATTACAGATAATATCCCAGATGATTATTATGTAAACATTGTTATTACAATGAAATTAATTTGATATGAGCTTCATTTCACATTTTTAACGTCAACGCTGTAACACAGAGGCCTATTTAATTTGTCCAGTGTTTGTGCAGGGTTTTAAATGAAGCATACAAAATCTACAATGTTCTACCTTCTTGTCATGAGGATCCATCTGTTTCCAATTATTGGCCTTTAACTGATGAAGTTCATCAAATTTCATACTAATATTTTCTATGGATAACTGCAGCATATCCCAAAACCCTGCTAAATCCTGGGAGGTTGGCCGTGGATGTGCATTAGGATTCTGTACAAGAGAAGAAAGGAAAAAAAAACAACAGTTTGGCTTTAGTATCTCTTAATGTAAAGCATTTGTGTAAATGATTGCAAATCTTGCTAGCAAAGCAGTTTCAGCAGATCCAAACCATCAGGGAGACACAAACAACAGAGATCTCTTGCCAGAGCCAGAGGGCAGCACCAAGACACTGTGCCCCCATGGGTCCCAGGCACCACCAGTGGGTTCAAAGGTGGCAACCTGAACACACTGAATTTAATTGCCAGCCTCCTCTTCACTTTAATGAGGTAGGGTTCCCTGCAATATTTATGCTGGTAGGATGACTGATACCTGTGCAAGTGTATAGTTGCTGTGTGTGCAGATAGCGACAAACAAGTGAATGAGCACTTTTTCCATACTCTCAATCTTAGAGCTAGAAAAACATATAATTTCAGTTAAAGTTACCTGTCAGACACGTAGGGCCAGTTTTGTGGTTTTTTTTTTTTTTTTTTTTTTGACAAAAGTAATATCTGCAGGGTGAAAAACTTACAGTAATCCCGTTTTATCAGGCATGTTTTTGAAAAGAGAGATGTGCTGACCCACAGCTGTCCCAGGACCACAGAGAAGCTGGATAGCTGGGTGTCTATCAAATACATCAGGAGCACTACATCAAACTGAGAGTTTTCAAGCAGATGCAGCTTATCCTCACTTTCAAACTCATGGACCTCAGCATGTAGGTTTGTCCCACATATGCAAGGTGATAACTCAATGAAACTCAGTGCAGTGAGGCTGCTCTGCATTGTGCAAACTCAGTTCACTTCATCATAGAATCATATAATATTCCAAGCTGGAAGAGACCCACAAGGATCATTCAATCTCAGAGTATCCTCAGAAGAACATGTCTGGGACCATCAGCATCCCTAAAGCAGCACGGCTAGAAATCCTCTTCTGTCCTATGTCCCTTTGATGTGGCTTAGCTCTGGAAGTTTTGCGTGAGCATACATGAATTGTATAAATGCAAAAATAAATTATTATTAGGCCCTGCGTGTTGTTTTATATGGCTCAAATGTTACTCTGTGCTTAAGTCTTCTCCCTCACCTCAGGAACAACAAACCCACCAGTCAGTTGGCTTTTGTAGGATATTTCCAACTATTTGTGTTTTTCACCTCAACACTGACTTTGACTGGATGGTTATACTATAAAAGCAGCAACTGTAGAAAACAATAAAGCATTTAATTTCAGATTCATAAGGAGAACAGAGATTATATATGCATTCCTATTTTTTGTTAGTGTTTGACATCAGCATGTTGCCCAGTTGCAGGATTTTATTCACAACGTTGCATGACCTGATAGCTTTTTCAATTTTTCTCTTAAGAATTGGAAGGCTCATTCAGACAGAAATGATTTCTGTTGCATTTGCCTACTGCAGGCAGATTTTGGTACGGGTCTGGGTTTTCAGGGGTGTATTAAGTGGAGTAGAAGATGGTCATGATGGTGAGTGTCCCAGGGTGTGCCTTCCCTGCTCTGTGATGACAGACAGCTTTTTGGGCTTCTAGGAACTTGGGTCAAAATTGGGAATTAAATCCATGCAATGTGCAAGGATGGATTGTTAACTTAAAGGTCTGACTTTTTTTTGTAAGCATTGCCATTTTAGAGAATACTGTTTTAGACACATAATATAAGATATATTTCTATTAATTGTAATGAATATCATTTTGATGCTGCCACTATTAACAGCATAAAAATAATAAATATATTGATAGTAATAGTAGGGGCATACACAAATTATATATGGTTATCATGATTATACCACACTGTCTTTTTGCCTCTTTGCCTTTTTACAACTTGTGGAATTACTTTTCTCTCTTTTGCTGTTCAGGCATTGAAACACATGGCACCAGCATTCAGGATCTGACTTCCTGCTATTTCTGTCTTGCTGAATAGAGGTGGCATTGGTATTGTGTGGGAAAGCCCCACTCATGAGACCTCTGGTCTACCTTGGAATACCCTGAGAAGGAACCCACCTATCTCTGTGCCCATACAAACTGAGCTCAGATATGAAAGGATAGACAGAACTTCAGTGATATCTCACCAAGATTTTTTTTCCCTTTCTTTATTTTCAGGATCTTTAACTATTAGCAAAACTCCCATCAATGTCACCAGTTCTGATAGACTTACTCCCAAGTTCATAACAAGGCCTCTACTGGCAAAAGTTGCTGGTCAGACAATGGTCTACTTTAAGGTAAGATTGTTCATAGCTCTTCAGTTAGTAAGAGAAACGCAACAGTATTTATCAGAAAAGTTACATACCAGGTTTTCTTCACAAAGTTCTCTGAACTGGTAAAATTTCTGGGCCATTAGGAGCTGGGCACTGCCCACTGCAGTTCGGATTTTCCCTAGAACTAAGAGAAAAAGAAGCGTAAGTAATAATGCTCTCCTTGCTGCAGGCAACCAAAAGCCTACAAAATGAGAAGTAAAGCCACACAGAAGGCAGTGCTGGTTTTCCAACGCAGGTTATGGGGAAGCTGAGGAACTTGAGGATAGATCTGTATCAGGCCAAGGCAGGCTAAGGTTTCTCAGGGCATCACACGTTGGTTAAATGTTAATCTGTTGCTACAGCTGCTTCTTGTTCTGAAATTAAGCAACTCCTAACTACCACAGGGCTCTTTCATGATAGGACAGATACAAGTAGTCACCATCTTTTGAACCCTGTGTGGAAAGCACTCAAAAAGACTACATCTCTAACTAACACTGGACGTAAATTGTGAACACAAACCTAGCTTTCTGCACAATGGCACACAGCTCTCCAAAGCTGACAATAAGCACATGGCTAGAGAAATCACTGCAGCTCTGAGCTGCAGTCTACCATCTCATGCAGCAAGTGATGCTGTGTTTTCAGGCTGCTCAGTTGGAATCTGAGAAAGGGACTGGGGATTGTAGAGCACACTGATGAATCTCATCCAGACCCTCTGAGGCTTTTTTTTTTTTTTTTCATGAGCAGTATTGGAAGTGGCTTCTGCCTTTAAATGCAGAACAGCACTGTCCAGGGCTGCTCTGTACTGAAGGCAGGTGTTTTCCTCCCAGCTGAAACAACTTTTTATCCCTTAACTCTTTGTTTAAAGAGTGATTTAAAAATTAACACCACATAATCAAAAAATAATTACCACCTCATTAGTGAAAACCATGAACAACAACAACTTTCACCATCAGTTCTACTCATCAACATCAACATTACCCACTATCCCAGGCATCGTAACCAGAGCAGCTTCTCCAAGACAATTTTCCAGTGGTGAGGGAAGGGCAGGAAAGAGAGAAATGGAGTGGACTGCTCAGGGAGATGAATTGTTGGCATAAATGGAAGATATATACTGCTCCACAGCTCTGCACCGTTCCTTGAGTAGTCAATTGTGTGCAAAACCAAATGCAAAGTTGGCAGAGCTCCACTGGGAAAGTACTGCTAAATGTTTTGACTTACTACAAAGAAAAAAAGAAAAGAAAAAAAAAAGTGGGGGGGAGGGGGGAAAGAGGCAACTTTGACCTACTTTGACCTAGCCCTTCTAACAATATGTTAGGAGTCTCGCAGTCCTACAAGCAGCCGCAGCACGTGTTTGCAGAGTGTGATCAGAATGTGGCCATGCAATGCTTGCTAAGAGAAAGGCATCTCCAAGGGATTCACCCACGGATCACATGCTGGGTAAGCTGGCATCAACACCCACCACCAACCCAAACCAGATGCACAGCAGTGCATCAATAGCCTTAAAGCTCCATCCTTAAGAAAAAGTGGGGTGCAGAGTTCATTTCCACTCTAGACGTACAAAGGAAAGAAAAAAAAAGGGGGGAGAGATTCCTTTCACATCTTTTAGAGGACTAAAGGAGAGGGCTCTGTGAACACACACAGAGCCCAGACTTTCATTTTGTTCCCAGAACTCTGCTCTGAGCTGCCAGGAAATTGCCGTGAGCTGGAAGATCCACTGTGCAGAATATTTTCAGCATATTGCGCAGGGAGTTTTGCACACAACTCTCATTATTGTTAGCAAGGCTTGCGTGTCTAATTCTATGCGCACAGTGCTGAAAATGGACCCCTTGGTGTGTCTAGTCATTTATGCAACCCAATATGCAAACCACTCAACTGAAAGGGCTCTTCAATAGTGGGAGGAGCTTCTCTGCCAGCTTTCATGTGGTTCCCATTGTTATGAAAACTCTTCCCACTGAGTATATTTGGGAACAGCTGCCTCATCTGGAGCTCCGCCACTCCGATGCTTCCCAAGACTTGAGCAGAGGAGAAAAAATGGTCTCTGGGCTTCTTGGGAGGAAAAAGCAGATGAGACGGACTGCTCCTGGATGCCTGTGTTAACCAAGCGGCGGTCACGTCCTGAGCAGCAGTGGATATAAACACACCTTGCTGGCTCCTTTTTCTGGGGGAAGAAGAGCTTAATATTCAGAGATCTCAGCAGAGGGAGAAGGAAGCCCTTGTCCTTGGCTGCCTAGCGACTGGCTGTTTGCCGAAAACCCATCATCCCAGCTGACTGTGGGATGCATGCTGATGCTGTTCCCTATTGTTGCCATTTCTGCTGTGGCGGCGGCTGTATCTAGTCAAGTGTCACTGATTCCTCGCCCCTCCAGTGCAAGCAGCCTGTTAATGTGCAACCAGTCAACAACCAACTCGGTCACGGGAGTTAGGGAAAAAAAAAAAAAAAAAAAAAAAAGACAAAGCATGCAAAAGACTGAAAGGAAGGAGTCCCTCCACAAGGTGCAAAGCCTTATCAAAGCCTTAGCTCTGCTTCCAAACTCGTGTTGCTTTTAGTGTTTCCCGTTTCTTTTACTTAGTCAAAGCCTCCATTGCCAAAGAGAAAGACTAAAGAGTAGCAAAGTAACAAAGACTCAGAACAGCCCCTGACTCTTTCTTTGCAGAAAATAATTAAAGCCATATCCTGAAAAAAATAAATGGAATTGCAAAGATAGATAATATGTATTAGAAAAGAACCGGAGAAAGCAAGGGGTACAGGACAAAAACATATAAACATTCAAATTGATGTTTTCAGCTAATGCGATGCAAACAAAATACACGAAACCAAGTAACAACAAAGCATACCAACCCATTAAGATGCAATCATAACAGAGATAAACACCTATATAATGTTATTCATGCCTGCTTTCTATTCTATACAGGGTTATACAGCACACTCAGCACTGTTGGATCTGAATGCCTTCCAGTAATGCATTAAGCAATGTTATTAACATCCATCATATGCTTTGTTGTCACCCCATCCCCGGGGGGAGAAGTGTGTACTGCAGTGTTTTTGTTTGCCTGTCTGTTGCTTTTTTTTTTTCTTTTTTTTCCGCTTTGACTTCCTTCCATGTAAATCCAGTTATCTCCTGTAGCAACTTTTAAGAAATAGGAAGATGTATCTGTTCTGTAAGAACAGCTTTGTTACTTTGATACGGCTACTTTAACACAATTCAGTCTCCTCACCATTGTTATTCCAGATCAGGGGTCTCAGAACGTGATTCTGGGACAGACACATGCCAGGGAATTTCCTGATGTCTCTCAGTCCCTTGCCTGTTGCTCTTTGAAAGCATAATGAAGTATAAGCTCGGACTATGTGCTGTTTAAGCAACATGTGATTACTTCTCATAGTTCCAAAAATGGGATAGGACCCACTGGGGGCTTTTTGTGGGAAAAGAAATGAAATGACAGTAAAATCATTTCAGCCATAAGCAAATAAATAGTGATATTGTCACCCTCCTTACCCTGAGAGGAGACTGCATGTAATGACGGTGACAAAACACAAGAAAACAAGATAAAACTATCAGACTGATGTGATGCGATAAGCCATAACAGATAATGCAGGGAGTTTTGAGGAACAGATGCATTATTGGGTCTTAGCACACCAACTGGTAGCATTTCAGCTTTGCCAATGCGTACCAGAGTGAAAAAGGAAGAGCTTTGGGCTGCAGCTTGATGATGACCTTATGTGCCAACACTTTGCCAGTAGGCAGCAAGGAGCTAAGATGTGCCAACACTTGGTTGGCAGGCAGCAAGCAGCCCAGATGTGCCAACACCTGGCCGGCAAGCATCAAGGAGCCAAGATGAGCCAGCACCTGGCTGGCAGGCTGCAAAGAGTCTAGATGTGCCAGAGGCGGGCTGGTGGGTAGCAAAGGGTCCAGATGAGCCAACAGCTGGTCGGCAGGTAGCAAGGAGCAAGGCTCCCAGCCCTGTCCCAGGACCCAGGGGCAGGAACAGAAGCAGAGTGGCAGGCGCCTGGGATGACATTTGCCTTGCAGATGTCAGCTGCACACTGTGCATATGAAGCAATCCTGCCATAGAGCTGTCACAACCCATTCCCAAGCAAGGATGGGCCAGTGTTTTAGCCTATTCATCCTGACAGATCTACATTTAAATGACGCCAAGCATGACAAAAGCCAGGAAATTCAAAGTTAAAGCTATTGCTCAGGTCTTAAGCTGAGCTATTAAGGAGAAAATAGCCATGGAACAAACTTCGGAGCAGGCAGGCTTTGCTTAGAACCATATTTACTTATAGCAGTGATCTCATTTAAATTAATAGGGCAGTCTGCATGAGTAAATGCTATTCACTGGGAGTACAGAAATTTCCATGTGTTCTCTGACTTGGCTTTTACTAGCACGCTTCATGTCTTTTCCCTAACTTCTTTCACTGTTTGTGGATTTCTCTCTTTCTTTCTCCACCACCCAGCATGGCTGCCATCTCAGAGATACTTTTCCTCAGAAAAGCACTTGTGTAGGTAAGGCCCTTCCGGGAAGAAATGAAGATGGGAGTGGATGGGGACAAAGGTGCACAGCCAGCGTCTGCAGGTTGGCAGAGAGCACCCAAACAGCTTCATTTGCCAATACTGGCTGCATTTGTGGAGACACCGGTTTGGAGACTTTAACAGATTTGGGGTCAGTCTTTGTTGTCAGACCAGCCCAGAGGAGAACAACCTACACACAAGGCAGCTAGCAACACATCTGGTCAGAGCCTTGGTTTCCCATTTTAACTGGTATATCATCAGCATGACTTGCTTCACAACTATCTCCATACTGCACAGATTTGTGGAGCACCAGGCCCCGCCGTCCGCTTTCAATGGATGTCTCAGAGCAGGAGTTACGTTACAACCCAGATGGGAAGCATCTGACACTGTGCAGAATGCAGTCCTGTGGCTCTTACAGCTACAAACACCCACATGTGTCAAAAACAGCAGCAATAATCCAGCAAAAGGCAGAGTGAGCCATGGGGCTGATCCTAAGCTTTAGTCTGTTCTTACAGCATGTTTAGCCTCACATGTCAAATAGCATTTTTATTATCAATTTATTTTAAGGAGAGCAGTAGAGCTGGTAGCTAACACCCCCATGCCAATAAAATATGGAGAAGCCTTATCGGGTACCCCAGCCTGAAGTGTGAGTGCAATTCATCCGCCTGTTATGCATGCTACAGTTTTATCAGAAAATGATTTCAGATAAGACCAGAGCATACCAGCCAATAAATAATTCATGGCACAAGGGGAGCTATCTTCCTTTCTATATAGGCATTTCACCAGGCAGCCACCACCCCAGCACTTGTTCCCATACACAGCAGCACACTCCGTTCTGGGCTCGGAGCACTGGGCCCATTGGTGGGTTCCCTCCCAGCCCAACAGCGCCCACGACCCCCTGCAGCACACCCTTCTCCTGGCAGGCCGCAGTGGGCTGGTCCCTGGCAGCTGTTTTGCACAAGGGCTGCATTGTCTGTGGGCAACGGAATTGCTATACGGGCAGTGCTGGGGGAGCGAGCCCTCTGTCAGCTGCCGCCGTGTCCAAGGAGCCTCACTCATCGCATGCTCTCATTACTCAGTTATCTGGCCAAACACGCGCTGCTGATGTCAGGTTGGAACAAAGGATGCACTCCTTGCTCCACTTGCACTTTTTCCAGCAAAACCAAACCACATACTTCTGTCCTCTCCCTCTCTTCAAAGTTTGTAGGTGTATAAAATGCCATAATTTGGGGCTGGCTTTGAAACAAGCGAGTTTTTGTTTGTTTGAGTGGGCAGTGTGTAGCCCTACCATATGTTTTCCCTTGGCACCAGGTAGAGCAGGACATGTCAAACCCTCACTGGAGGCAGCTGCCCAGTGCCTAAGTGGCCAGCAGCATCAGAGCCTTGATGACCCCTCTCCTCCTGCTTTCACGAGAAGAGCTGGCTTGAAAAATCCAAAGGTGAAACAACCCACATGACACACCACAAATAACCCATAGGACATGCCACGTATGCTACAAAGAATGCTGGGGACAGCCAGCCCAGCTTCACCTGTCTCCCCCACAACTGGCTTCTCCCACCACTACCTAAAAGAAGAGCCTTCCAAACTATCATATATCAGAGAGAGAAAATTCTGCATACAGATGTACGCATTTTGCATGCACCAGCTCCATAAAATTCACACATCCTTTCTTTAAGGTGAGTGGCTGCTTCAGTGGACAAATCAAATACATATCACTTTTCACGCTGGTTGTTGCAGCAAACAGAAAGCAAGTGTGTTTTTCTGACTTAGACTTACAAATGTTTGATATTACCTATTTATGATGTGTGCGCACACATCATTTTCAATCTATACCTTTTTTTTTTTTTTGCTTTATTTCTTGTGTACTAACAAATTGAAACCCTTGTATTCTGATACATGCTCAATGACATTTTGAATTTGTTGATGATATAAATTAAAAATGAGATTCAAATACTCTAAAACTTGGGGATTCTGGATACGCTTTGAAGGTTAATCCTTCCGTATTTTCCCTCAGAGGAAATAGCTAATCAATTATATAATAGAATTTTGTAGAAATAGAAAACCTGAATGTACATGCTAATGTAAATGCTAAAGCTATCTAATATTTTCCATTATTAGTCAATTTCCAGTTACTTACAGTACTGTGTAACTGATCAAATCTCTCTACGGTCATTTCTTACTCTGGGCTGAATGGAAAGTTCCAACAGAAACAGTTTATCCATTTCTAATAAGTTTGAGTAGAGTAGAGTTTTTTTCTATTATTAATTCATTTCCTTTTTCCTTTCATTTCAAATAAATAAGAAGAGTTAAGAAATCTTCACACTGAAAGATCCCTAACCACAATCTCCTAACTGCAATCCCAAAATATCTATTGAGTTTCAGAAGCGTCAAGCATTTGCTCTATCAAATTTAATAAGTATTACTGCATATATACACACAGTCCTTTTGAGAATTATGACCATAGCTTCATTGGGTAGATAAGAAAGGGCACAGTAATGAATTAATAGGAGTCAGTTTGGCCTGTATTAAACAATTTTTTCCAAGTTGCAATATTACTGTAGTCAGTTACTTACTGTCCTCAGGTAAGTTGTTTTCCCGTTCTTCTCTCTCCATCTGTTGGCACCAGCCCTCCATACGGTCTCTCTCTGCCTGCAGTAGCTTCAGAAACCAGTGGCCATCTCGTGGGCACACTGACCTTTGAACAGCTTCCAGGGGATCTTCAGTGATAGAGTCAATCCAGGGGTCAGGAGGAGGTAAAATAGACGGGTCAAAATCTGTCTCAAAGTCATCATCCACGGCACACGCATGGTAATGGTTTCCTGACCCTTGTATGCTAACGGTAGAGGTGCTTGCATCTCGTGAAAATTGTCTTGATATTTGTCCAGAACACAAATTGTCCTCTTGAGGGTCGATTATTTCAAAGTTCTCATGGAAATCCAGGTCTGCTTGCACAGCTGTTGTTACACTATTAGATCGTGTAAACCTGCGAAAGCTTTGAAGAGCACAAACACAAAATGTTTAGAAAGCTTTTGCTAGGTGGCATGAGAAAAGTTAGGTAAGAAAGGGTCTCTTAAGAAGTCTCTTCTCCTCCTAAGACTGGCAGTCATGGCTTTCAGTGCTACACTCCATTTTTCTTTCTGGAAATGATTGCCATAAACTTTGTTTCGCATTGTGAGCCAATAGACATCTCTCTGCCTCTTAATGAGGGAAGCACCAATGACAGTGTTGTTTAAAGAAGCCAGCCCATGTGGCATCTAATAGCATTGGTGTCCCAGGATTTCAGGTCAACAGTTCATGAAAGGTTAAAGAGGTCCAGTTTTAGGTAATGACTGATCATAGAATCATAGAATGGTTTGGGATGGAAGGGACCTTTATGTCATCCAGTTCCAACCCCATGCCGTGGGCAGAGTTGCCACCTACCAGATCAAGCTGCCCAAGGTCTTTCAACTTTTCTAACTCATACCCTATTAAAGTTGCACACTTGAACTCAGTAGTCATGTTTTAAAAATCATGTACGTGAGATTGATAAGAAACTAGTATCAATGAGTTCACTATTTCTGTAGTATTATACCTTGCACCCATGAAGAAGATAAGTATTTCAAGCCCAGCCAAGTATTTCATATCGCTTCCTTGTAACTGCTCGTCATAACAATGTACCTACTAATTTCCTGCTTTTCCAAGTACCACTGGCAGCACTCACACCTTTAGCACTCATTCCCAGCATTAAGACATGTTGTTTTACACATTCAAACCTTGGTCTCACAACAGTCTCTTTTACACAAAAGTTTACACAAAACTGTATTACTCTCATCATGATGGCTGCTACAGTATAGATAACTTCCTTTCATCTTGCATTGCTTCCATATGTTTGGAGTCTCTGAGAGGAGGGAGCAAACCCTGTAAGAATGTAGGAAAGCCAGGAAGGGAGAAGATATAAGCATGGGAAAACGGAGGTTTGGGTGTTAGTCTCTTTTATCTTTAAGTAAGCAAGACTCCAAATTTTGCAGTCCACGGAAGCTGAGGTGAAGAGGAAGATACAGACGAAGCACAGAGATCTATGAGGAGTAAGAGACACCTAATGTGCTATAGGGGATAGTAAGTGATAGCAAATATGATAGCAGTAAATTATGAAGGGAATGATTGGGAAATTTTCAGGCAAATGTACAGATAAGGTAGCTCTAGAAACTCATGTGCTGAGAACAAAGGAAAAATACAAGTGAGGCAGATATTTGTTTTGCCCCATGACAGATGGAGAAGGTGGAAGGAGGTGAAACTATCAAGTAATTAATGTCGATGCTATTGAACTCAGTAATATTTATCACAGAATGGCCTGGCTTGAAAAGGATCACAAAGATCATCCAGTTTCAACCCCCTGCTATGTGCAGGGTGGCCAACCACCAGACCAGGCTGCCCAGAGCCACATCCAGCCTGGCTTTGAATGCCTCCAGGGATGGGGCATCCACAACCTCCTTGGGCAACCTGTTCCACTGCATCACCACCCTCTGAGTGAAAAACTTCTTCCTAATATCTAACCTAAACCTCCCCTGTCTCAGTTTAAAACCATTCCCCCTTGTCCTAGTACTATCCACCCTTCTGGATTTAGCCTTCAGAATTAACATAGCTTTTAATTAAGTAGGGATTCCTTAATAATTTAAGATGCCATCACACTCAGGCAGCTGGTACTTCAGTCCTAACTTGTTCACAGTCTCATATTTACTCCTGAAACCAGTGTTAGGACCTGCTTCCCTGGGACATTTTGGCTGCTTTGTCCTCAACAGTTTGGGGCTTGAGCAGCAATGAAAATCTCAGTGACAATGGAGCTGGATGCCGAACACCATTTTACTTCCCTTAATTTCTACTCCATCTTCCACTGGAAAGCAACAGCTGATCAGATAAGAGCAACTTACAGTGTCTTCAGTTTGAAGCTGGGGAAGGAGCAGATGGAAAGAAAATTTCAGGTACCCAATACAACCAGATACCTAAGGAACCATACTGCAAAACTCAAGGAGAGCTGTATCAACTCCTGCTGGTAGAACAGATTACTGGTAGATGTTGTGGGACTTTGGGAGGACTGGGGCAAAGTAGTACTGGAGTCAGGAACAGTTCTCCAATTAAAAAAAAACAAGAAAAAGCCCAACTAATTGCTCTGCAGAAAAAAGTTTGAAATAGTTTCACAGCCAAACTAGACCCTGAAAAACTTTAATAATAGTGTAGATTTTTTTTTTAAATACGGTGGGCTAGAACACAAAAAGATACAAAAAGATGGTTACAGCACTGCAGTTTTGCATGACGTGCACCAGCAAGCTGAAAAATATGGAGCTAGCAGAACTCTTCAGCTTGACAGTATTTATCCTTCGACAAGCAGAGCAAAGCATTTTTCTATAGACTGATATGGCAGAAAAAATTGCAGAAGGGAGGACAAGGATAAGTGGAGAAATGGTATGGCTTCCATGGGAGGAAAGCCTTTTCTTGGTTTAGAAAGCAGATGGCTGAGGAAGGCCATGAGAATCTTATGGCATCCCGACTAGCTGACACCTCACCACACTCAGAAGGCAAGAGCTGTGGGGAGGAAGGCAGCCAGCTGTAAGCCTGAGAGGCCTACAGATTTAAATTTAGCAAAAGGAAGTGCTTCTTCACACAGTGCGTAATTAAACTGCTGCAGGATCCTGGGAAAGCCAAAGGTAGAAATATGTTCAAAGAGAAGCTGAACAAATTCACAGGAGACAGGTCTGGGAAGGGCTGTTACACTTGGGTTTCCGAAGTCCCTAACAGCCAGCAGCTGAGCAGGGAGGTCTGTGGGGAGAAGCACTGCCCTGTACACACCCTTCACACTTTGCTTTTGCACACATTCCTTTAGACTTGTTTGGAGGATCTGCTCCTGGCCCCTGGCAGAGAAAGCAGTTCGACTGGTATCAATGGTTAGAAAGATTTTAGCTTTAGGCTGATTTGACAGTGAACATTTTTTGGGTCTAGTTTATGTTTTTTTTTTTTTTTTTTTTTGTGTTGGTTGTTGTTGTTGTTGTCATTTTTTTTTTTAAACTGCTTTAATTTGGCCACCAACCTGACAAAACCTTATTTGCACTGAAATGCATGCTTGCCTGCATACACACACCTACTGACATACAGTCACCGTGCTTACACATCTGTTTTTCAGTCACATAGGTTGCGTTCACTGAGAGCCAAAGCAGTACACAAGCATCCTCCACATCTTCCAGAGTAATGGAGAAAAGCAATGCTCCTAAGTCAACCTCATTCTTCTCCATACCTCTACCTCCATATCACTCCTACTTTTGCTTTCTGCAGTGTCCTAGACTCTGATTTGCTTCTGGTTTGGATGGCCATTTACAGTTTCAGATAACACCTTCGATTTTCAGTCTACATTGAATCTCAAATGTGGAAACATCAAGGTATATTTGCCAAGAGAATGCATTGCTGGAGGCACTACATTTCAAAGCTTTCAGGACTATATTCTTACTGGGTTCAATATAGGCTAGTACCACCAAAAGCCAGACTCTGCTCAACAAATAAAACGTAATGACCTACTTTCTTTTGCTTTTGTTTTATCTATATAATAGTATGCTACAGGCTTGCTTGACAGCTTCTTGGCACTGGATTGTGTAACCTATCTGTTTTCAAAAGAAAAACAAGTTGGCAATAGAGTATAGCATCAGTTCAAAATTAAAAAAATACTCCCAAGGAAATGTATGTTGAATGACACGGAAATACAGGAAGACAACCACTATCTGCCTACCTCCAGCACATCTAAAAGAGCTGCCTAATAGATGGGAATCTTAGTCTCTGACATCGCTTCCTCACTCATTTCCAGGATGTTTTACTCTTGCAAAATACCATTTGTGTTCCATGTGTCTTTTTTCTTTTTTTTTTTTCTTTTTGCTCTGCTTTCATTTAAAACAGGAGAGTGGTTGAGCTTAAGTTCTTATTGTTTTCTACACACACAAAACATTCATGGCTTTACCTAAAATAAAACAAAACAAGAAAAAGGTTCAGAAATCACTGGTAATTTTTTTTAGCAGAGACTTCCTTCTTCCTCTGCTTTCAGGCTTGGCCCTTTTGTATTCAGTTGTGCCTTGAAGGCACAAGGTGTAATAATTACAGCTTCAGAGAACTACAGCAGATACCTGGCCTGCGGTGCAGAAAGCCATGAAACCTCAGACTGGATAAACCTGTATGGAGAGCAACAGTAGATGTGTTTTGAACAGCAACAACAGCATCACCTGTTAGCATTTGACTCTCTACTCCTAAACGTTCTTTTGAAAAACATGTTTACATTTCAACTCATTTCTTTCCTAAAGAAACAAACAAAAAACAAAACCCCAGAACAGATGCTGATTCCAAACCAACTGGTGTCAGACTCTCATAGATTAGATTAGATTAGACTTGCCTCGCTTTACCTATTGGCTGACTCTTTCTTGCTGTGTATTTCTCTGTTAAAGTTGCAGCAACCATCAGCAAAACAGAGCAAACAGGGGACTTTATACGGCAGCCCTGACATGGAGGACTTTGGATGGCAGGATCTTCTGCCATACATCGTCAAGGTACATGATGTTAAGTTCTTTGCTCTATCCATCCCCCTCTCCCACTGACATAATCTTTTTTTTCATCACTAGGAGTCTTAACAGGGAAACGAATCCTCTATTATTGTTTCATGTCACCAAAATCCCTTAGAATTTCTCAATGGAATGGCTTCCACTGTGGAGAACACATGAAGCCAGATAATGCTGCAGACCAAAATCAAGGAAATCTCAGTCCCATCTCAGCTCAGCTAACATACAGTTTTGAAGGATACGTTCTAGGAACTGAGGAGTTCAGAAGTTTGAGTTAGAGCATACAACTGGCTGGTTGTACAGGGGAGACCCTAAAACCTGAGTTTTCCTTTTTTTTTTTTTCTTTTGTCAGGACAAGAAGTTGTAAAACCCAAAAGACTAAATAAATAAAAAAAAAAGAAAGTGGTTGTTGTTCCTTGAAGACCATAGAAAAGCATATTTTCTCTAATATTACCACATCACCACTTCAAGCCATTTCACTTTATATGCTGTGGTACCACATACCAGACATTGCACTACGCCAAAAGGTGGGGAGAGCTTCCTTTATCACCATAGAAGCTAGAGAAGAAGGATATGAGGAATATGCATACATGTGCCTACGGTCCTACTCTCCTGTGGCAATGTCCTTAGACCATAATCTACCACTGTGTCAGCATTCAAAATTTCTTGTGATGGCAGACCAAGTACAGTAACCACTTGACAGTATAACTAGGAGCAATGAGCAAGATAATTTTTGGGTGAAGATGTAAGAGGAGGAAATCCAGGGGCACACATAATAAAATGCAACAAACTGAAAGTAATTACTGAGTTATGAGACAAAGAGCAATAAAAGACATAGCCTTTATTCAATAAAGGTGTCATAGTTGGCCTGGCACAATATATAGCTTCTCCTTTTCTGGTCCAGTAGAACTGGCTAACTTCCGACAATTCAATCATCTTCTGTAGGTGAGGAAGGCAAGGTGGTCCCTTGAGGCCAAGAAGGACTCAAAGGTAGAGAGAAAAGACAATCTGAAGAAGTTTAAACTGAAAATGTCAGCTGCATTAGCAATACTTTTCGAACTTGTCTCTGGAAGGGATAAGTCATGTTAAGAAAGAGGAGGAATATGTTATCTGGGGTTTTGTTATCACCATGAGGGAGATCAGGTGAGAGATAAGAGAGAAACAGCAGGAAGATTATGAGGTCATTGTTGAAAGAAACGTATACTTTTTTTATTCTTCCTCCCCTAAGAGAAGGACTTGAGAATGGTACTCAGTAAAATCTAAAAATCGGAGTTAAATTTGGGGAATAGGTACGAAAGGAGTTGAGAGCAGGTAGTATAAAAAACTGAGGATAAGTGATGGATCAAGTTGTAATGTGGTCAGAGAGCGTTAGGCACGTTTATCCCTTGAGCAGTGCAAGAGGAGGAGGATTCAGAGTCATTTGTCTTGGCAGGAAGCCCAGGTTGCGGAGAGTGAAGGGCTAATGAAAGGTCTAAGCCAAAGAGAAAGAAGGGATAGCTCTGCTCCTGTGATGCTCTGGTTTTGAGCCACTTGGATCAACACGGAGGCAAAAAGTTTTTGCTCACTCGGTCCAAGTGCAGAAGCAGGAATATTTAAAAGGGTGTGAGGAAGTAAGACTCCTTATGGTGAGAATGGCCATCATGTGAGGTGAGGGAAAGGGAGTGGAAAGAGTAGGAAACTAAGGAGTGTAACAAATTTTGTACAGTAGGCTTTTGGTGCATTAAGCAAAGAGCTTTCCTAGTGCACACTACAGCACGCTTAATAACTTAGATTGGCACAGAAACACAATCAATTTGCTGTTATTTATATTTTTTGCTGTCTCATTCTTTTCATTTTATTTGGTGTTCATTTAATATTTCTGAATCCTGAAAGGTTTTGTTTTTTTTTAACTTTTGTCATGGATTCATCTCGGTAGGGCTTTTCTGAGGTTCTGCACATGTTTTGGTGCAGGGGAAGGGAAGAAGGTGTCATATTTACAGTTCTATTCCTGTAACAGATAATCAATACATTGTACTTTGGTATGCTTAAAAAAGAAATAAATAATCATAAAAAAAAAGAATGTGAGTGCCAAATTGTGATGATAAGCACTTTGTTTCCTGAGTACACTCATTTTCTGAGGATTAAGGGCTGTTCTTTATCAGCCTGTTCACTTCTGAAAGTCCATGATGGATTGCTGCTTGTCCATCTGCTCTCAGTAGCAGCAACCTCAACCTGATCTGCAAGAAATCCCTCAAAACACAGCTGTGATCAGGCAACGCAGAGATAATGCTTCCTCAGGGCAGATCTTTGCAGGCAAATCTTACCTTTTTTTTTCTGGAGCAATACGAGCAGCAATAGAGAGAGGACTTTGGAAATAAGGTATTTACAAAACAGCCATCTCTTTATTTCCTTTCCATTCCTCTTATTTTTTTTTTTCTTCTTCTATTTTCCGTGGGAGAAGGGAGGTGAGGGAGAGTTGGCTTTCTGGGGTAGTTACTGCCTTTGTGCTCGGGCTGAAGGGATATGGCTCTTCAGCACCTATTCCAACGTGCTCATTTATCTAGTGCTAGAAGAGCTGTGGGTAAACGGGGCTGAAGTTTCAGGCATAAAGAAATGTCTGCCAGTAGGAGATGTTTTAGCAGGTTAATGGTGAACTTGGTAACAGTCTGACAGAGTCGTTGCATAACACATTTCTTTTTGCTGATATCACCTTAGCCTTTTGAAACTACAGGAAAATGCAAAATGTGGTCAACTCATATTCCATAAATTTTTCTCAGGAGAGGCTGTGAGGACAACCTTCTTGCTGCAGAGCAATGATGTGCCCCGTGCCATGCTCTGGCCAGGTGCAAACCAAAATTCACGTCTCCTACTGCTCCTGGAAAATGCCCTCTGAGCAACAACAGCCCAATGACCTAACGACTCAGACAGGAAGCACATTTATGTTGCCATGTGCGCAGGAACTGGAATTCATAGAAATAAGTTGTAGTACAACTACTTGCTTTAGAAAAACAGTATTATCTTTTACTCACCACTTCTCCTCCTCAACTTGCACTCCTATGGACTGGAACTTACTGGTTGCTTTATTTTCACCTAGTTTGGCAGTTTCTTCAGCACCATCAACCTTAAAAAGATTAGTAGCTCATTAGAATATATTTTGGCTGAGATATCGCCTGAATACTTAGAATTTCTATTCATGATCTCTACTAAGTGCTGCACATATGGCTTGTACCATAGCTACCTTCATCCACTTGGATGGTTTACCTCTGGTACGCCCACTGCTGATGTTATTCATGAATATTCATCATTCTTGTTAATCTCTAAGGCATCTCTGTTAAGATGACATTAGGCCTGAGACATGCAAGTGGAGTTTGTCCAGTATGTTATGGAGGTTGGATGCTGAGATTTGCCAGAGCCTCTGAGCAGCTGCAAATCCAATTCCTGCACTGCACCATTCTGTAGGTTTTACCTGTTACTTTGTACATTGCATACATGGTTATGTTAAAATGGCATATTTACTTTTAGTGGTAGTGTCCTTCTGGCTCCAGTCACTGTAGTTGTTAAGTCCCAATGCTACATAAGGGATTGTTAGTCAAAAAAAACCCAACCAACCAAACAAACAACCCAAACATGGCAGCAAACAGCATTTTTGGACCACAGTGCATCCACTCTGACCCTGGCTATACAAGAACCTCGGGTGCAGCGAGCATGTCTCCCACCAGCTTGCTATTGAGAGCAAATATAACAGCCTTGTTGCAGGAAAAGTGATCAGAAAGATAGGAGTTTCAGAACAAGACAGTGAAGCAAGGTAATTACCAAACAGTAAGGTTTTAGGGTGATAATTCCACCTTAAATTACAAAACTAATAGAGAGAAGTAACTGTTTTGACAGCTTTACTTTGCTTGTTTGTTAAACAGGTTTACAGCAAAGACTGCTGGTGATCTAGGAGCAACTGAGGGGTGCAAGGCACACAGCAGGAGTTCTTACCACATGTGCATTTCATGTTTATTATAGAAGGAAGCAAACTCCTGGCTAATATGGCTTACACTGCTCTAGGCCAAATTACAAGAAAGGTGTTCACCTGCTCTGAGCTCTGTGTAAGTCTGAACTTGGCTTCTATTGCAGTCAGTGGAGGGAGGTTGGCATATGGATGGTGATTAAGCTACTCAGCTGTAATTTTTACAGTTTCAGCAGGAGATTTTCAGGGGCTTGAGCAGCATTTGGGCCTCTGTTTTCCTCAGATTTCAGCAATCTGGGGCTCCTGTTTCTCCTAAAAGCCCTGTTCTTTACTTGCACCAATGTTACCTTCAGAAAAGAAAGATGGGAGATGGTGTCTTGGTAACCATGGTTCATGTTACTGCTATTCATATGGAATGCTGCAAACACAGACTTTATTTCTTTCTACCCATTACTTTGTCTGCAAAGGTCTTTGTTGCTTTGTTCAGTGAAAGGAGGGATCACAACAATAAAACAGCAGCACCTTAGCCTTGACTGGGTTTGGCAATAAGTAATAGGGTGTTCCTTTATCCCTGTCCTATCTGGGTCTTGCTCCTACATTTAACACTAAAAATATCCCTTCTTTCAGAATATATCCAAACCAAACAGCTGTGAAGCAGAGAAAGGGTACAAGAAAGGCAGCAGACCCACGGGCTGTAGTAACTCTTGGCCTTCCAAGAAGAAGCACAAGGTGAGTAAAGTCACTGCTTGTCTGGCAGCTGCCCCTGGGGATGGCATGCTCAGCACCTCCTATCTCGTCAGGCGGATGCAGTGATTTCACGGTAAGTTCTTAGGCTTTGCTAATCAGATAAGCCTGTCCAGGCACAGAGGAGGTTGTAAACACAACCTCCATCTGCAGGGAAAAAAAAAAATCATGTTTTCTTGTGAAGGCAGATAAGCTGTGGATTGCTGTTCTGTTTGCTCGGGATTCATCTCCCATCAAAACTTGTGCTGATTTTCAGTTGATTGCAAGTTCAAGTACTTTGTTGCAAGAGCTAATCCTGCAAGCAGATAGTTGGCCTTCCATGCACATTCTTGTGGGGGCATATGGGAAAAATTAATTAAGATAGCAGATTAAATTGGCCTAGTTTATTTGCTCTTCTCCTTTCTGTAAATACAAGTGAACTTTGGCAGGGTTAGTTTTCTTTCATTCCACTAGAGGTAACAAAATGTAATTTTCCTTAACAAGGGCAAGTCAGAAGGAACTTATCCTCTGCTCTTGAGGCTGGGATGGAAACAATGCTGCCTCATTCGAACGGCCACCAGTCATTATGAAATGCATGAATAAGCAGTGACAATTAATCCAGTGAGGCTGGATGAAAATATTTTTTGGGTGATAGTGTAATGTAAATCATTGTTTTACACATTCCCTTTCAATGATTTAATTCATGCCTTTCTGACCCCCGCTGTGATATGATTCATAGATTAGTGCTCATGTGTGTAATTTAACAGAGCTGAATAACAAGCAGCAAGGAGACTTAAATTCTCAAATCTGATGTTTTTATGATAAATTAGTAAAACATCATTAGTACCATGTAGCATTATAAAGCTGCTGGAAATTCTAATAGGTATCTGAAAGAAAAAGAAGAAAAAAATAGACAAAACATTGCATAACGAGCAGTAAAATAAACGTAGAAACTCAAAACAATGGCACACATACAACCTAAATCCTGTACTGTACCTGTATTCCGATAGATAAGCATCTGTTTTTCTTGAAGTGGTCCTTCTTTCTATCTTCTACTGCAACGGTGGCAATGGTTGTGGTGGTGGTGACAGTGGCAGTGTTGTTCCCTACATGTTGACTTGCTGGGCCATGGATCTGTGCATTAGCAGCTTCAATAGCTGCTGTTAGTGCCTTCATACTGTCCAAACTCTCTGTGGAGTTGCTAAGTCCAGACTGACTGATGATATCTCCCCTCTGTCCATGCCCATCCATATACGCATCTTGGGCAGACTCTGTGCTGCTCTGGGCTGTGATAGAGATAAATGGTTTGGTGGTAGTTCTTGGTGGGACTGGAGGCGGTGTCTTCTTATAGGTAGTAATGCAGGATGACACTGGAAAAAACATGAAAGTTCTTGATTTATTGAAGGGAAAATGTATGTATACCATCTTAAGACACCATGAGCATGGACAGAGCAGAGGCAAGGAGAATGCTGTTAGCCAAAGAAACCCCAAAAGCTCCGATAACTGTGCTAGGGAAATACCTTGCTTATCAGTGTCTTCTGTTCGTACTGATGTGTATGCCAGAGCAGCTTTATTGCAATTGTTTTCTCTTTCTCTGCCCTGCCCCACTCTATTAACTTATACTTTTTAAGCTACATTTCTTTGTTCAGATAGAGATCATAAACCCATCTAAGATCCAAGACTTGATGCTCATCATGCTTGAACTTGTGTATTTCTTGTTATAAATTGTTACAATTTTTGCACAGCCTATTCAGATATTTTAAAAAGTCTTGTAAGCTGTGGAGGGCATGTTTAAAATAACGTTTTGCTGCTCATATTTCTCACAATAAACATATATGTGTATTTTTTAAAAAATGCTTAATTTTGCACAAATGGAGTTAATGTAACGTAGTCAATGTTTAAAGCCTGACAGCTGGTGGAACTTCTTAAAGGAAAGCGTAAGAATAAATGTTTGCAACAAGACTTCAAAAGTTTATGAGGACTCCTTTTCACATGTTGATGGCCGTGCTCTCATCATAAGTGCTTCTATATGGATGCAGAAGCTTATCTTGAGGTTCTCAAATTAGGAACTATTGGTTGATGTATACAGAATTACATGCAGAATGCAGTACATGGAGATAAAAAAAACTCCTTTAAGGGATAGTTGGCAGCTCTGCTTTGCTGAAATCCTGGAATGCTCTCAAATGAAGGAAAAAAAGTCCATTAAGAATAAAAAACAATCATGATATGCTCTATTTTTTAAGCAAATAAATGCAGGCATTAACCTGCGCAAAGTTCAGACACAAACACGTTAACATGAATTCTCATTAACAATAATCACATGGCAAGAAATGATTCATTTTAATTGGCAGACGTCTGTGCCACCCACATGAAAGGTAAGTCTGCTACAGCTGTTCTGCTCCCTTTTTGCACTGTATGTGCTTGTAGAGCCAGAAGCCATTCTGGCATTAATTTGACTAGCTCAGATCCACACGCCTCATATCTCCCAATAGTTGCAGGAATAGTTGCAGCGTAAAAGGTGTTTCCAGGGTATGAAATCACATGGGATTTTTTTAAGAAGTCTGGTCTGAGTTTCTGATAACATGCCTGAACCCATGTTAAACCCTTTAAATGCTAATGGAAAAAGAGCATTTTGTGAAGGTTGTGAGAGTTTTGAAACTGATTCACTTCTGAAGAATCAAACAGAAACCACAGCATCTCGGAGAGAAGAGATAGATGAAAATGAACTTGTCAAATTTTAACTCCCAGGAAGTGAAGTTTATAGGGGTTAAAGGTGCTTTTTAAAACTGCTTACGACAAGACAAACCTATGAAACAAACAGGAAAGATGACAAATTTACAAAGAGGCATGTGAATTTTGCACAGTTCTTCATTGGTTTTGATGCTGACAAAAAAGCATTTGTTGTGACTGTGGACACTCAGGGGAATTGGCTGCTCTTGCTGCAGCACAAGCAGACTTACATAGAATTGTGGAGACTGCTGCTGAGGTGATGGGATCCCAGAAATAACCTAAGTGGCTCATGGCCTAAAGAAATGCTCTCCAAGTGGTGGAAATGCAAAATGAAATTTACCACTGAAGAATTTAAAGCATATACTTTCACTCATATATCCAGGTAATGCTTTGGCAAGCCTGTTCCAAGCTCATCTAATAGAGGTTTGTGTGCCACGCTACCTTGCAATTCAGCAATGTATAAAATGCCCAATTTAAAATATATTGAGTAAGGGCATTGTGGAACTCCTGGGCAGACAGCAGCACCTTCAGGACATCCTTGCAAGGCACACAGGTGTCACTCTTCTACTTAGCAGATAACAGCACACTCCAAAAGTGCTCTTAATGAGGAGAAAAAGACTGTAAAATAAAAAGAAAGCTCCAGCGTGACTGGTCTGCATGTCACTGATCATCCTTGAAGGGACAGAGAGTCAACAAGTCTGTCGACAGCTACCGGCGCTCTGGTCAGTGCAGGACAAATACAGAGACCCTTGATTGAGATGTCTTCCATTCTGCTGGTAAATGCACTCAACGAGGAGCCTAATCCACGCCACAGTGAAAGATGTTTGCACTCAGCTAATTAAATGTGAAGTTATTAAGAGGGGGAGAGGATTGACAAGTCATACGGTGAAATTGTAAAGAGAAACAGCAAACGTTGTTTCAGCAAGTCAAAACAAATCCTCGGTTTCCTGGAGTCACGCAGCACGCACTGTACAGCTCCGGAGAAGCAAAGCGTGCAAGTCATAAAAGATCCCCAGGCGCTCCGTTACTGGAAATGATGCAAGCTCCCACCACTCCTGTGCAGAAATGACAACAAAACTGTGCTCTGGCTGCAACTGTTTGCTCAGCGCTGGAGCTGCCTGAGCCCTCCCAGTGGCTGAAGTATGACAGTAAAAGGGATTTGGTGCACTGGGTTTCTCTAGGCACTTTTCAAGAACCGAGCAACGAGTGATATGGCAACCTGAAGGACCTGTCTGAATTTCACTGGGTGATTTTCAATGCAAAGGTGCTCAAAGAATAAAAGGAACACTCCCTAAGAGAAAGGAGCTGGAGCTGTTCTTGTGCAGCCCAAATCAGCGCATTGGGTAGGTGAAGGAAGATGCTGTGTTGTGGGCAAGAGGAAATCGTGGCCACCCAGTGCTGGAGGTGGAGAACATCACAGGTTCACAGGGTACGTGGAAAAAACACAGAAATCTTCACATAGTGGACATTCAGACAGTTTTGCACTTGAGAGTTTGTTTAATTCACATCAGGAAGTGAATTTAAAAGGACTCCATAATTCCTAATAAATGCATTCTTGGACATGGATCAAGGAGTGAACTTCTGTACTCAAAATGATCTGACTGGAGAGTGAAATCAAAGCAGACTCATTTGTCATTGTTTAGGCATGGAGTTAATCAGAAATAACTTTTTCTGAACATTAAGTGTGTGTATAAATGCACAGTTTGTCATAATATAGAGTAGTTTTCTGTATTACTTTACATAGCACCAAGGACGGCCTGATCAGTGGGTGGCAGCCCTGCCCACAGCACGGGGATAGAACTGGCTGGCCTTTGAGGCCCTTTCCAAACTAAGCCATTCTGTGATTCTGATACAGCAGATACACATTCTTGTGCTGCAGCATTCTCAAGGTTTGGTCGAAGAATGAGTTAAATCATGTGCAAGGAAACCCTGGCTCCCAAAGCACCTTGAGTCAGCCCCTCGTTCCCAGCTCTATCCATCCTCACTGCTCTCCTCCTCGTTTTGATCTTGATTCCATTTCTGTAGCTATGCCTTTGGGTTACAGTTTAATCACGAATACTGAGAGAAAAAGAACTTTCTCCAGATTAACAAAAAATAGTCACGGTGTTTGTCCTCCTAGCTAGTATTTCCAAACAACTAGCTCATGGGACAGGAATTTGAAACAGGGAGTGTCAACCACCCAGTTCAGAAGGAAGTCTAATGATGAAAAAAAAAAATAAAAATCCGAGATTGCATAATAATAAAGACTTGAATTTGAATGTTTCATTGTAAGAGCACTTCAGTTGTTTAAACACGCTCACTAGGGAGATGAGCCCTTGGGAGCAAACATCAGCACTCAAACCCAGAGTTTTAGCTCAGTGAATGGGTGCTCAGGAGAACCCCAAGGCAGATCAACACTTGTGAAGGGATCAGTTTCACACAGCGAGCAGCTGAGCAGTTCGGAATGAGATAGGTGAGCAACATCTTCCCCTCTCTGACTTGGCAGTCCCAGGTGAACTTAGTTAACAAATGCAGGGATAAATAAGGGTGCAAATTTAAAGTCAACTAAAATAATGGTGCTTCTCTTGAGAAAAAGGAGCAGCAAAATACACAGCATGTACACAATTAAGTATTAATGAGGCAAGAGCTCCTCCACCCTGCACTGATGGACTTCATCCTTATGATTTAACTCCCATGTAAAGGTATGCTGCACCAATACTCCCACATATCTGCACAATGAGGTAGGATTGGAGTGGGGGGGATGCAGGCACATCCATGCAGAGCTGAGACTTCAGAGCTGCAGCCCCTGAGCTCTCCATGCAGAAGTGCAGGGCATGATTTGCCATGGTACGTTCCAACAGAGCTGATGTTCTCTTTACTGTGCATGTATTTCCCTGCTTTGTTGAGGTTTGGAGGGGGGTAGTGGTGGAGTAAATACTTAGAAATGGAGTTTTAGATCCTGTATTTTTGTTTTCTTGTGCAAAAAGTAGGTAAGAAAATGGAGCATGCATAAAAACAACTATTCTCAAAGCACAGATGGCTTCTGAGGAAACAGACCATTAAAAAAAAACCTGAAATAAAGATTTTCCTAAGAAGTTCTAGACTGCTTGAGGGAATAATACCTGAGTGAGTTATGGATGTCATTATTCCAAAAGAGAACTACAGAAATCTCTGTACTGTGCCATCAGGACTTCTGCCAATGCCATGTTTTTTCTGTGTCCCCCACCACTGCCAAGTCATAAATCTCAGCCAACAAAAGCCGGAGATACACCAAAGGTAGAAACAGGCACAACTGACAACTATACAAAGTATGTAAACTATCTTTACTGTACACAATAACATCTAATGTACCCTGAGGTCTAAAAGCCTGTGCTGCTGTCCATTTTGCAAGTTTGGAATGGTTAGCTTGCAGCTTTCCAGCTGGATGCACTAAGGGGCTCCTGAAACCCAAGCCTGACCATGGCTTATCCTGTATCTCACATGAGAATGAGTTACAAAATCTGCATGAGTGCTGTCAGTGGATGACAGGTGAGTATTTCTCTACCAGATTTATTTTTTTTTCTTTTAACGGCTGCTGCTGGAAGCTGCTGATGCCAGTCAGAAGTTTAATTGCAGTCCCAGGAAAGCTGAATTAGTGTACAGAGAACAAGTGAGACAGATG